GCACAGCGGAGACGGATTCAGCTTTATTTACTGTAACGCCGCCGCTTTGATTAAAGCGAGCTGAGCTGTCAGTCACGCTGACTCTGTTTGTCAGAAGCCATTTCAGTGCTTGATCAACTGAACCCTGCAGAGGCCGCGTTTGCATAAGGTGTGCCGTCAGTGGAACTTGAACCTCCGGATCAAACAGAGGCTGCTGCTCCCAAACATATCTAGAAATATAAACGTACTCTCCCAAACAAATTCATATCATATCTGCGTATGGAAAATGCTATAAAGTAAAGTTACGCCGTGTCTGGCTTTGTTTTGCCATCACCGCTCTGCTGAGTCAAACCAGTCTGACCAGTGTTTGTTTTGAACTGACAGCAAAGCAAACAGCAAACACGACCTCTTTACTGTGTCTACTTATCAGTGGAAAAGTGGAAAAAATGAAGTAAAGGAGGGCTATCAATAATCAGTCCTTTCACCTTGTAATTGTAGCTGTGGCTCAGAGGTATATCTGCGCATTCTCTGCTTATCCAGCTTATATCAAATCTACAATCAGGTACAGATATAATACAAATAATATAAAGTCTGATTTTTGTAGACTCTAAATCTGTAACAATTGTTAAAATGAATTGTTACAATTGTAACAATTGTTACAATTGTTACAATTACAATTGTTACAATTGTTACAATTACAATTGTAACAATTGTTACAATTACAATTGTAACAATTGTTACAATTGTTCATTTTTTTATACAAGCAAAAATAAATAAATAAACATTGAGTATTTCTAGCTGCAAGGCTGTCCGTCTGCTCAGGGCCCCTGATGTCCTCACTGTTTCCCCCACTTCTTTCCTTTTTATTGCACAATTTTATATATGAAATTTGCAACACAAGCAGAAAATAAGCTCCAATAGATAAGCCTCAACAAAATTGGAGAGAGGGGGTCACAATACTAGACTATAATGTAGGGGATTCATAAAAAGAGTTACTGCAAACTATTAGTTGGAAGAATCTAAAGAGTCCGGGGCCAGTGAGGTTCTGGGGCCTGAAGCAGCTGCAGCACAACAGGTCGTGTTTTATCTTCTATAGATCCACCGTTCCTGATCATTCATTTTAAAAGTTTTCTGGAAAGAACAAAGAAAGTTCTGCTTGAACACATTTTCGAGTTAAAGTGCCCCGCTGTGCTCCGACTGAAAAGGACTCGCAATTCATTTTGAATTGATTCGCTGAGAATGCCTCGAGTGAACTCTCTTTCTTATTTCCCTGCAAACGCTGGCGAATTCTTTCTAGGAAATGTACAAAGTCATTAATATGAAATTACAGACCAGAAAAGTAAAATATAAGCTCAGTGAGAAAGAACAGAGTATAAAGGGCCTTGTGCCTCAGTGTTTCTAACATTGTGATTTACAGCCTATTTAAACATGTTTGACAGAACAGGTCCAGACATAATGCCCATCTAGGTTTGACTGAGAAGCCTGGGAAATATAACTTGCAGTAGTATCATCCCTCTTTCTCTGCGTACTGTACAGAAGGCTCCAGAAAGAGGCACAATAAAGCGGCCAGATGCGCATTTTAACACGGAGGTACTCATCAGGACATCAGCTCGTGACATTTTTGCCCATTTTGCTCTCCACGTCAGGGATGTCCGATGAGGTATCGTAGCCTTCGTTGGAGTAGGCGGTGGATCTGCCCCACGTCACCCTGCTGGCTTTGTGTGGAGAGGATCCCCCATGGCTGCTCTCCTCATCCTCCACGCACTTCATGCTTTCCTCCCCTCCGCTCAGCTTCATGGTTAACCTCTCGGATAGTTTCCTGGCCAGCTCCACGATGCTGTTCCTCTTCTTACAGCCGTCATCCACCGACACCTGGACGTTGCCCACGTACCACATGAGCCAGCAGGCCAGGCTGATGAAAATGATCAGGGAGCCGGTGTAGATCAAGAAGTCGCCATAAAAGAGTCCGTTGATGCGCAAGTTGGCGAAGATCCCGATTAAAAGCAGGATCACGCCGAGCACGTCAAACACGACGGCGATGAGAAACATAAGAAAACAGTTTCCGATGCACTTGATCGCATCCATCCTGGACAGATCACAGCCGCTTCAAGCTTGTATAACGGCAAGCTGCTTCATCCTTTATACCTGAGCCGAGGCTGCGCACCTGTGGAGAGAGACGCCCCGCCTTAAAGTAGAAATAAACACGCAGGTGCACTCAGTGTACACACAAAACAAACACACACGTATGCGCACTTCCTTTTTGCTCGTTTTTCACACTGAAAAGTCAAACTTCCTGAATTCTCCAGTTCACAACAACAACAGTCATTCCAGGGAACTTTTCCCTGTAGGCGCACTGTGAAATATTAGGAAGACCAGGAGTTCCCCTTATGAGGAAGCGCTCAGCCAGGTGGAGCAGACATCTGCCACGTGGTGAGGGGACAGAGGAAGCAGATACAG